GTGTGTGTGTGTGTGTGAGAGAGAGAAAGTGAGATTGAGTAAGTAAGTGAGAGAGCGGATCCATCACCTGTAGTGAAAACCACATCCAGATGTGGTAAAAGGAATTCATTAATCAGATCTGTCAGACTGTATTACTGTGTGTTTGTGTTTCTACTTTTTGGCCAGTAGATGGGGATAGAGTACAGCAGGTTTGACCTAAGAGAACTGACAGAGATTACACACACACAAACACACAAACACACACACACACACACACACACACACACACACACACACACACACACACACACACACACACACACACACAGAGAGTTAAGCAATGACATGGTCCCGGATCATCAGTTAGGGTCGTGTTAATGACCTCCAGTGTTTGAACAACACAAAACGTGTTGGCATGAGGTTAAAGCAACCACTGAGAATATTAAAGCTTATTCCAGGCATCTCTTGTGTTCAAAACAGATTACTTCTCTATTAAAATGTTCCTCTTTCGGTTTCATTTCCCTGTACTGTGCTCAATTTACACTGAGAGCAACAAGCTCACTTCTGCTTTTCTAGAAAGCCGTCAACAATAAACCAAAACACTTTAACCACTAGACTCTGAAAAGCTTAATGGGGACGTAGTGTTAGTGTGTGTGTGTGTGTGTGTGTGTGTGTGTGTGTGTGTGTGTGTGTGTGTGTGTGTGTGTGTGTGTGTGTGTGTGTGTGTCTGTTTGTCCTGCTTAAACAAATATTTTCATAATTCAGACGTTTAGTGCAGTGAACCAGCTTGTCCCACAGCGTAACCATGGAGACGGAGGGTTTACTGATGGGAGGTTGCTGAGGATGGGAGCTCTTCATCCAGAAACAAAGAGAGTCCGCACCCAGTGGGGCAGAAAACAAGCCACACACTTATCCAATCGTCTGCACGTGTGTGTGTGTGTGTGTGTGTGTGTGTGTGTGTGTGTGTGTGTGTGTGTGTGTGTGTGTGTGTGTGTGTGTGTGTGTGTGTGTGTGTGTGTGTGTGTGTGTGTGTGTGCATGTTGAGCCCATTATCACTACTCCAAGGACAACAATGAAAATCAATACTGGCCATCAAGCCCCGAAGAGGCTCAGACTCTGTGTTTTGCGTAGGTTTGCCATAAAATAACACACACATAAATGTAGAGCCATTCATCTTCTATTCTGAGCACAATATTTTTGGCTCATGAGAATTTCAAGATGCTGCAAATGTATTACATACTCAGCAATACTACAAAGACTAATAAGTGTTGATCTCAAGAGAAACAAATCTAATGACAATGCAATTCACTGCTTTTTGATGTAAGCTTTCCTTTTAACAGTTGACTGCACAAAAAAAAAGGAAAATATGAGTTTATTCTTGGTGTCAATTGGCGGTTGTGATACAGGCGAGATGATACAGTTGTAATTACTGCTGGTTACTATTAGAGGTCATAATGACAGTGAGAACCAACCCTTACATTTGCGACACAAATGTAAAATAATGTGGATTGTTGTTGTAAACTGAATAAACTATGAAAATCTGTAATCTTACTAAAGTGCCTTACGAATAAATGGATTATATTAGAAAAAGACATACGTCCCTGCAGAAGCAGAATTCCAACTTTACATATCTAGTACATGAAGCAACATTATCATCATTCTTCTGGAGTCCTATAAGAATGGCCTAGCGTGTCTTTTTGGTTTCTATCTCCAACTCCTTAGAAAAACATATGGGCCTTTAAACCTGCTTTAAACGAACCTAAGCTAACATTAGATGCTGCACAGGTAGCATTATCAGAGCTTGTTGGCTGAAAATAACCGCCTGCTGCTGCTGAAATAAGGGTTCATGAGAGAAGCAAGACTGAACTGAATCATGGACCATAAATAGTGCAGTTCAGTCTTTGAAATTGGTTTATTACTGCCAACATTAACATTAAACAGTGCTGTCAATAATGCGTTTTCCAAATATAACTAAATAAAACTTATAAATGCAGGTTTACAGTAAGTCACAGTTTCAAGGTGTAAAGCTACAAACTACACTGGACCACACCTCTTTACTGTTCACACTCCCATGGGAATGACCTCCTCATCGCCCCTCTTCAAACTGTTTCCCGGTGAGAATGACGTGTGTGAGGGAGGGAGTGGGGGCTCTGGTTCCAGATGTCAGAGGTACTTTTCAGACAAGAAGAGGCCCGGGCTAGAAAAGCACAGGAAACGGACAACTGACTTAAGGGGTCTTGACTCAGTGTGTGTGTGTGTGTGTGTGTGTGAGAGAGAGTATAGGGTCTGTGTGTCAGGCAGGTCACGGTACAGTCACGGTAAACCTACCTTTGCATGGGAATGTGAGTCATGCCTATACAGTTGAACTCGGTTGAGTCACAGTAAGACCTGTGATGAGTCAAATACTGCTCATATATTTTTTTGTCCGGAATTGTATTATCTTAAGACCCTACTTCCTGTCGGTTTACAGGAACAAAGAGATGAGGATTACATACCCAAACAAAGAACATGTGTGTGTTTGATTGTGATGCATCATTTATTGGGGGAAATCCTATGTATTATCAATGCTGGCATGAGATATGGTAATGCAGTCTGATCTCTGTATGACAGGGGAAGTGCCTCTATGCATAATGAATGAGTTTGTGCAATAAGTAATGAGATTGAGAGTAATCCATCATGGAACTACTTTGGCTGCTGGAGAGAGGGAACAACAGCACAAGCCCACCCTCTAGTGGTAAAGACATTTAATCCAGCAGCAGGCACAAGACTCAAAATCACCAAATAAACTTACCATAAAAAGACCATAATAAATGAATGTGAACATTAAAAGTTGATTTAAAGATAAGTCAATCCACAGAAAATGTATTTCACTCCAGATAATAGTTTGTTATTCATCCCACTAAAATGGAAAACCTTCCCTTGTTCTCAGATTTAGTATTTGCGGCTTTTCTGTGTGTTTCTTGTTTAAATAATTGTTATTTAAATATATTTGAGTGTTGTTGGATTCAACAACTTGAAGATGTCACTTTTGACATTTGATTTTACGGGGCATATTTCACTATTTTCAGACGTTTTATAGAATAAACAATTACTTTAATTGGATAAATACTCAACAGTTTAGGCAATGATGAAAATAAACATTAGTTTCAGGCAGGGGAAAGACTGCTCTCTGACACACAATCTTAACAAAATTACAATCCTCTCAAGGGAAAGCTTTGTGGAAGGAATATTTTATTAGATTACATCAGATTATTCCACTCTCTTTGTGAAACCCTCGTCTAGATAGTCTTTAAAGATGATATAGACATCATGATATGACATACACTTTAATATCTTGATTAATTCAGTCACAGTTCGATCTTAAGAAGACACAAATAATGCATTTTATTTTCTTGTCTTGTCTGCAAGCCCATGTTGCCTGCCTGTCTGTCACATCTCTCTTTCTCAATATTTTCCCTTTGGCCTTCCAAAAAATGTTGCCTTTTGTTTTGCCTCCACACACAAAGCACAGTTTAAACTTGTGTAACCAGCAACTACAGGCCATGACCAAATACGCAACAGTGCTACAGGGACCTGAACTGTGTTGCAATTGATTTCCCGGTGACTGGGGTGCATTTTTGTGGTTTCCATGGAGATGTCAAGCTGTGGCCAGCAGAGGACTTTTTGTTGTTGTTGGTTGGACTAGCTCCCCAACGTTACACACACACATTCACACACTGCCAGAACCCTTGTTTACAATGAGATAATGTGTTTTTCTTCGCTGGGCTTAGAGTTGGTTGGTGAAACATGATGCTGTTTGTGCAACTGAGTTATAATTGTTGTGTCAAGCTTCTCATGCAAGTTTTCCAAAACTAACCAAGGAAGTCCAGGGAACGCAACTCAAGTCATTCTTCATAAGACTCTCTAAACTTATTTTCCTCTATTTGTGGATGAATGTTAAACTTGATTAATCAATGTAACTCTTTATTCAGTCACGAGGTAACTCACTGACACAGAGTCCGTGACCGCAATAAGAATGTGAACTTTAAGCAGCTACCAGCTTGCTCTCTCTTTAAGGACATGACTGGTTGTCGTAAAAAAACAACGTTCACAAAGTTTCAAAATACACAATCAATAAAACCAGGAGAGACACATTAACATGATTGGGATTTTCCTCTCAAGTTTGTTCATTTCAGAAGGTTAAAGACCCCGCTCATGTGAAATGCCACGTGGAGACAACCAGCTGTTCTGTGTGAACTGCACAGACACGTATGTATAGACATCCCATCAAAGATATTCCATTTGGAGTAAAGCTTTAAAGACATACACCGCTTAGGTAACAACCCCTACACACCACAGCAAACATGCCAGTAAACATTTTGGAGGAACTAAGCTGGGTAGTTCACATGTTGTTTCCAATATTAAATCTTATAATCAGTCAAGTAAAATATGGTTAGTTTAAAATAAATAAACTCATTATGACCCTGACAGCTCTGACTGATCCCACATTAGCTAGAGGCAGAAAGAGTAACTAGTTTCCAAGACTTTGCATTCTCGCCCTGCCAGGGGGCATTGGTGAGCCATCGATGCGAGGGGTCCTCCACATGGAGGCCTGCTTGCTGGCAAATCCGGCGGGCTCGCAGCTGAATTTGACAGCATGATCTCTCCAAGGGGGCTCCATGATTGTGACATCATTCCCTTACTCTGCCAGAGGACTTTTTTTCTAACTAAGGCAGAGCCAGCTGCACCAGGGGGGCTACAGCTGCCAGTGTCAAGGCAGACACTATTAAAAGGGGCTTGTGTTGCATTAAAGAGAGGCCGATCAAGGCTTTGTTGTGCTGGTAAACCACTAACTACAGGCCTGCTTGCAGCTGTGGCGTTGTAACAGTTGGCAGGTGGCGGGATTCACCTCACAAGCAATGCTACGACCGTAATGAGACACAAGTGTTCTGGGTCCTGCAGGCTGAGGAGTCAGGAGGTCATAACATTATCCTTAATGCTGCTTAGGTTAATGAAGCATGAGTGAAATCATTCTAACAAAAAAGACAAAAAACTCACCCATTCGCCAGATCATCATCGTCATCATCATCATCATCATCATCATCATCATCATCATCATCATCATCATCATCATCATCATCATCGTCTTCCACGTTTGGGCTCTTCCTGCCGATTTCCCTGTTGCTGAGGTAATCCCCCTTCAGGAGGGATGCATCCGAGTCGTCCAGAGCCTCGATGAGTTGGATCCGAGCGTTGTGGCTGATCCGGAGGGGAACGTCTGAATGGGTGTTCACCGTGGACGGAGCTTCACCAGCCTGCAGACGGGGGCTGGCTTGACCCTGGCGCCATGACAACGGAGAGGAGCGATTTGATAGACTGGAAATCGAGAACGCAGCGGCCTCGTCGCTGTCGTAGCACATGGTCCCCTCCACACGGCTATGGAAGGAAAAAGGATATGTTTTAAGGTTTCTTGAGATATTCACAGCAATGTGCTGTCCTTAAGGGCTGAAAAGGTCATGGACAGTTTTAACAGACAGGAAGTGAATGTCTATCTTCCATTTCCTCTTTCTCTCAGAAGAGCTTAGGATGTGCTTCCTCTATCCAATCATCTCCTCACCTTGCATCCTGTTCTCTCAAAGGGACCTCAGTATATAGAGCCATATACTTTACAAAGGCTCAGGAAGTATATGGTTTCAAGGGGTCTGTCTATGTGTGTGCCTTTGTATATTTGTAAATGCACAAGTATTATGTGTTTCCTGTTTTCCTGTCAGCAAACATGCCTTTATGTTCCTCTGTGCCCTGCAAAGCATTGTCATGTTGTGCCAGCGTACATTTGTGTGAGTCTACAAACAACATTGCAATATCATGCATTCTCTCTGCATAAGCTGCACTTCACATCACTGCTTAGCACTTAGTGCGTAAGAATGATGAGCATTAACAAAGTGACTGGCAGTCAAACTGTCTTACTGTATGTGTGTTTGCCCGCAACATTCAAATGAATCTTGTCAGCAGGATATGAAATCTTCTCCATGAAAACCATAGATGGAGACGCTTTTCACAGGAAATGCTTAAACACTAACATAAAACAGACAGGCAGGACGTGGAGAGAGGATGCTACCCGTCATGTTAGAATGGATTCTCTCAGACTTTCTGCATGTTATGAATACAGTATCAGGGAAAGTATGTGTAGACAAAACAATTTCCTTGCTCGACAATCCATGTTTTTAATTCATGCAAATCTCACACTGTAAACACTTGTTTTTCACAGGAAATTAGCCATCTTGTTTGCAAGGGAAACCTCCGCCAACAAGCTGTAGGCCTCAAGGCAGAATATGTCTTAAGGGACGGCAGCGAGCGATTCAAGGTTATTCCAGTACGATAAAAGTATGATTGGCAAAGGATGTGTATTCCAGCAGGGAACCATCTGCTGATTGGCTTTTCTGGTAGGGAGCTCCCACTAAGGGACAGGGAGAGGATACAAGCAGGAGGCAGAGAGGAAGCTCTCAAGGACAAAACCTAAAGTCGTGTTGAAAGCAATCAGAATCAGTCAATGAAAGACAGGAAGCAGAAGCAGGCAGAGGACACACGCATGCTCAACTTACACTTAATCACAGCATTATTGCATGTCTCCTTGTGTGTCTGATCATGAGTCGTGAGTGTGCATTGACAGGGTCGGCTTTGAAGTCAGCTTTGAGCTAATCCTGCTTCAGTTCCGTATTAACAAACGCACAGGGAAAGCAGAACAGGCGGAAAATGACAGGCTATTGGCTACTGGTATATCAGGAATACTGATATTGATCTGAGAGCCCACAGGCAGTTAACCACCACACCCCAACACAGTTAGCAATGTCAATATGCATCGGCACATCTCAACTGCTCTTCTCTTCTACATGATTGCTTTGCTTATCTCTTCTAGCACAATACTATGCAGTCCTGTGTGAGTGTGTGTTTGTGTGTGTGTGTGTGTGTGTGTGTGTGTGTGTGTGTGTGTGTGTGTGTGTGTGTGTGTGTGTGTGTGTGTGTGTGTGTGTGTGCGCGTGCAGGTGTAGCTGACCTGTGGCTGAGCTGCACCCCCCTCAGGCTGGTCATGGTTTCCTCCAGGTTCTGTCGAAGGTCCAGAACATTCTGCACTGTCCTCTTCCTCTGGGACTCTGGGTCTGCAGGGGTGCATACACACATACACGTTACATCATTGGTGGATGACAACAACAGAAAAAAATACTTTACCTGCAAACCACAGTATATACAGAGCACACAAATGCAAACAGAGAAAACAGTTATAATAATAGAAATATGACTAAATATTAGTTGATAAATGATGATGAGACCAATACAAATAACCTTTCAGTCCCCACACCAAAATATAGGAATATACCCACAGTATAGCTATTCATCTATTCAAAGTTGAAACTCAATTCTACAAGAAACAGGAAACAAGTAAACAGGATGACACTAGTAAACCACACAAGGTAAAGATGTGATGGAGGTAATAGTGGCAGAGTGTGCCCACAGTTGTTTTTCCCAGACGGCAGTGGAGCAAACTAAATTAAATATGATGGCAGTCAGACAGACAGAACAACAGAGGAGACCTTTAGGACCAGACAGCTCTTACACTTCAATAGTAACCAGCCAGTCACATCACCTGCCATCTGCCTGTCTTTCCCTCCTCTACCACCACCCTCAGCCAAAATGCACTTGTGCCCGCTCACTGCACTGTGCCCCCTTTGACCCTCGCTCTCAGAATAAACCAAAATCCTTTCCCAGTTAAACCCACCCGGCCAGGCAACGCATTGGAATTTGTCTCACCACTTCCTAATATGCTGTAATCTGCTCAGATTGGGCTTTGTACAGTCATGCTGTGCCAATCAAGCCAGACTGCTGCTTCGTGTGTGTGTGTGTGTGTGTGTGTGTGTGTGTGTGTGTGTGTGTGTGTGTGTGTGTGTGTGTGTGTGTGTATCCAACTCCCAGTGGGTTGTGAAAATGGATGCAATATAAGAACCAAAGTGCTTTTACCACTTAGTTATACAGACCTCCTGTATTCAAGCTCAAGAAACCAAACATGTTTCAGTTTACAGTTTTCATTTCATAACATGTCAATTTGAAAGCTTGATATGGGGTCTTGCTCCTACTTTTTGTGGTACTATTATAGAATGATCCTATTGAATCAGGGGATAGATCTGACACTGGGATCCAGGTGAAATACTCATACATACAACAAATCACATATATTCTCACATAAACTAATGAGGAAACCTAAACTGCATCACATGACCTTGACCCTTTCCCTCCTACTCTGTGTATGTATGTGTGTTTGGGGGGTGGTGGTGATAAAAGATTTATAGTGGTAAGATATAGACAGTCTGTTCACCCCTGAGGTTCGGTTCAATAGACTATTAGATCATGCCAGCTGCCTTCCAAAATAAGCACAGCAGAGAGATTTACGATAACTGAGAGATGGGGTATTTTAAATACATGCATATATTTTGAAATAGTGTTCTTTAAAAGGACATCCCTTCCAAACTATATCCTGTATCTAATAACTGTTGAACCCTACTGACATTGGAGACCCGCTGACTTTCTCTGAGGTTTATATTTTTGATTTAGAAAGATCTATACAAATTGATTAATGCCTTTGCTTCCCCCTCAGGATGAACTGTAAGAAATGTGGAGTTCCCTTTCATTTTCTCTGCAGTGCAATCATTAGATAACAATTTGAATTTGTGACCAAACAATGGCAAAACTATAGACATTCCCATCAGCCTCAGGTGAACTGTGTGCATCTGCAAACTATAGCGTGTTTACATTCCAAACTAAGATGTTTCACAAGGTAACCATTATAGCTCGAAACCATGTGTGTTATTTTCATTGTGAAGCATGCTAGCACCAGAGTTAGCTTTTAGCATAGCTGTGCCTAAATACACCCTTAAAACTCTTTGTCTTGTTAAATATTTTAAATAGATCCCCTTTTCATTTACTGAGCCCGCGCGAAAACATATTCAATATATGACCTTAAAAACACTCAAACCCCGCCTCCCACACACACACCCCATCCACAGCCTCCCTCCCATGAATCAGTCCAGCTGGCTAGTGAGGAGGTGAAGGAGGAGAGACCTTTCTAATGAGAGAGGAGGGAAAACCATGAGCTGCCAGAGGTGTCAATCTCCACAACAGCTGCAGACTCAACACTGTGCTCACATACACACACATGTATATCCACACCAACACACCAACACACTGAGAAACACTTACAACAGGCCCAATTTATAAAGCTGGATTGATTTCTCCTAAAGGGAATGGCCATATAGACAATTGATTAGGCAGCCCTGGGGACAGGCAGCTCAGAGGAGCGATGATGAAGTCATTGTGAGCCTACCTTCTGCCGCGCACTCACACAAACAGGGCACATTTTTCACACCCAAAAAATAAAATGTCTTTCTAAAATAGAACTTCCTTTGTTCTGCTGGTGGTGCTCTCATGGTAGTGATACAGGGTATGGAAATTCAAGATATAAAGAGCCGCATTTTAGCTTTTAAATGTACAACTTTCTGTTCATTCAAAGGTTTAGTAGGACAAAGAACCTCTTAAAAATGCAAGCACGGACAAAGTATGACACACACACACACACACAATTTAATTGGGCATTTTTAATTACCCTAAACGTGAGCTTTGTTTAACATCAGCGTCAAATTGATTAGATACGGTCTGCATGATTACGCATGGGCCTGTGTGAGTGTCTGTAAAAGACTTCCTGTCCCGCCTCTGCTTTGGTTGTGGTGGTCCCAGCTGGCATTGGGAGGGGGGGGGAATTAGTGATGCAAATATCCCTGTCAGACCTGGCAGCTCTCGAGGGGTGCAGATGAATTATACTGATCTGGTTTAAACTAAGTGTGTGTGTATGTCTCTGTGTCTATGTGTAGGGATGGGTGAATTCCATCTGCCTCTTCTCGGTTCACTTGTGAACACACTCTCTGGACCTGAAGAGGCTGTGAAACTAGCTGAGGAGCCGTTCATAATGACCCACTCAGAGCACTGGGACGAGAGTCAGCAAGTTAGAGTGAGAGTGTTATTGTGAGTGCATGAGCAGGACATACTCTGCATCCTAATGAAAGTCTAATTTCAAAACAAAGACATAGAGACTTCAAAGAAGAAAAATAGATAGAAAGTCCAATTTCAATCTAAAAACTATTTTAATATTCTCAGATTTGTCTCATGTAAATCGCATGAGATAACAATCAACCATGCAATACGCAATACTCTCAGTTTGACTCACTCAATTTGATTCTGATTCTGATTTTAGCAGGGTTATGTTACATTGGCAGAAAACGACAGTGCCCATGTTTATCCGACATTTCACCCAGTGCAACAGTGTGACTCATCGCTGTGTTTTTAATAGTCTTTGGACAACAATGGAAATCTGTGGCTCAGAGAAATAAGCTATATCAGGCATTAGCTACACAGGCAATACTTGGGGGGATAAGTTTTGGTTTTAGGACTTGTTGAAAATAAGAAACACGTGAAATATTGCCAGTCTTCTCTCTCAAAAGTAGAGGAAGTTCATGATGTTGATGTCTGATGGCGGCTTGGCTAGCAGGCAGAGTAAACTAAAAAATAAGGGAGTACAACTGCTGTCCACTTGGTTTCCTGTCTTAGGTCACTTGACTCGCCTCTCCATTAGAAAGAAGAAGAAAAAACCTCCCCAAAGACACACTAATGGCTCTGTCCTTGCAGGAGTAGTCTGCCATTGTGTGTGTGTGTGTGTGTGTGTGTGTGTGTGTGTGTGTGTGTGTGTGTGTGTGTGTGTGTGTGTGTGTGTTTGTGTGGGAACCTGAAATCCTTCTTTGACATATTTCTGTGTGGTGACTGTACGCATTTTAGAGTTCATTCATCTGCCCTTGTCTTCACCAGCAAGAGGTGCAGTTTTGTAGAATTAATATACGTTTGAGTAATGGCCCCTATTTCTATTATTTCCTTCCTTTCCTCCGGAGTTCATTTGTCCCTGTCGGGTCCACATGTGTGCACATATGTTAGCGTCACCGTAACACTCCTCGGGCTACAGTACCCTCATCACATGATAGATGTGTGTGGTTCAGCATTTCTGATCTGCACCATACACAGACTGCACCTCCATGGGGCTGCACAATTATGGCCAGAAATTATAATCATGATAATTTATTTAACAATACTGAAATCGTGATTATTTATTGATTTGAATAAATTCAGCACTGCTTTCACCTCCGTGTTGCGCCACATTTTCAGCTCATGTACAATCTTTGCATCAAATACGACTCAAACTAAGGTTTTTTTTTACGTAAATGCACTCGTTTACGTGTTTCCTGTCTGCCATGTGTTATACTTTCTTCCCTTCTATTTGAGACTGCAGCTATAACATTCAGTAAGGTTTTCTATTAGGATATAATTCATCTTTACCACCAATATCACTGTCGATCATGTTTATTTGATTCTGGGAAGCTTAAAATCTTTAAAATAGATACATTAAATTACAATGGCATTCCTAAAAATCAAACAAATGCTAGTAAAATCCTTTGTGGATTTTGTCTAAGTTTTGCGCCAGATATAGACGTGTCACAAGGTAAAAATGACCTACAGAAGTGGTGATTATTTTGCATTTTTTACATGATTATTAAGTCTTAATTCCACTCAGAGTAGCATCGAGCCCTCTGCTGACCTCAAGACAGTTTGCAAAACAGGAAGCATTACAAAACACAGCCATTCCTGCACATCTGGACAAGGCAGGACAAACACACATGAACCCAAATGTGCATCCAGCCACAAACACAGGTGCACTTAAGTCTATCCGCTCCATCGGACGTCGCAACAGGAAATTAGATCCTTGAAGATAGGATCTGATATGTGACATGCATGGTTAACGAGCATATCGGAGCAAAAATACTGCACACATAATTTGAACAGTTGTTGTGGTTCAAAGTCCAAGAATGCTCACATGATTAGTGTGTCAATTGAGAAGTTTGAGACAGAGAAGATATTGACAAAGAGTGTGTTTGGAGCAGCTGAGTGTGTTCAAATCCATTTAAAACTGGCACCACTTATGTAACAGTAGATTCCATAACAGAGACAGAGGGATAAACAACACACTATCTGCCTTAGAAACACAGACATGTGTACAGATGAACATATG